GAATTCAACATCATTGAAATGTCATGAGATATGAATGTCTTGCTTAAGATAGTCACAATTCGATTATGGCATCGATCATCTTCATAAAGATATATTAAATATATTTTGTTTTTTCGGATGATGTCAATAAAATTCAGAAGAAACAGAATTGGTCAAAACATTTATTATTTCTGCATGTATATTTCATCTCTGGAACTATTATCGTTCTTGAACTAGATTTATGATGGAAACATGCTTATCTCTCATTTCAATCATGAATTCAACATAAGTGAGAAATCATGGAATGAATGTCTTGCTTAGGATGGTCACAATTTGATCATGACATCGATTATCTTTATAAAGATATATTGGAGATCATGATATGAGGAATATTATATTTTGATATTTCTGATGATGACAAAGAAACTTAAGGGAGGCATCATTATCATGTACAAGCCAATATTCCATCTTGAGGATCATTATCGTTCAAAAGCTCTATTTATGAAGGCACCCTTCTTGTATATTATATCAATCAAGAATTCAACATTAATAAACTATAATGAAAAGAATGTTCGGTTTAAGATGGACACATCTTCATAAAAATATATTGAAGATCATGAGAATTTAAATATTTTGGTGTTTCGAAAGTTAATGATGAAAGCTTAATTATTCCTTGATTTGATCAAAAATTGAATACCTATAACTGAAATATTATGAGATTATTGTCTGGCACGACTCTATCATGAAGACTGTATCATACCCATGGAGATGTATCGGAGAAAATAATGTTGGGTGGGTAACATTGTTGAATGTTCATGCTATGATGACATCATTCTCACATGTCATTTCAATCAAAAATTCAACATTATTGAAATGTCATGAGATGGAAATCTTGCTCAAGATGGTCACAATTCGATCATGATCTGGATATATTGATGATCATCACATGGGAAAAATAAAAGTTTGGTGTTTCGGATTGTGCCAAAATAATGTTGAAGGCGCAAAATTAGTAAGTTTATATATAACTTGTGCATATATGCCATCCACAGGATAACCATCGTTTCAAAGCTATATTTATGATGGAAACTCCCTTATTCATTATTTCAATCAATAATTCAATATTAGTAAAATATCATAAGATGAATGTCTGGCTCAAGAGGGTCACGACTTGATCATGAAGACTATCATCCCCATGAAGATGTATCGAAGATCATAATATGAGGAATGTAGTATTTTGGTATTTTGGATGATGTCAAAATAACCTTGGGTGGGCAACATTGTAATATGTATATGAAATATATGCAAATATTTGATCTTGAGGATTATTATCGTTTTAAAGCTATATAGCTATCATGACACTATTCTTATATATATATATCATTTCAATCAAAAATTAAACATCCGTGAAATGTCATGAGATGGATGTCTTGCTTAAGATTGTCAAAATTCGATCATGATCAAGATCATCCTCATAATAATATATTGAAGATCATCACATGGGAAATATATAATATTTTGATGTTTCGGATTGTGTCAAAAAAATGTTGGAGGCGCGAAATTAGTAAGTTTATATATAATTCATGCATATATTCCATCTAGAGGATAATCATCGTTTGAAAGCTATATTTAGGTATAATAAAAACTTCCTTATTCATTATTTCAATAAAAAATCCAATATTATTTAAATATCATAAGATGAATGTCTGGGTACAGATTGTCACGACTTGATCATGAATACTATCATCCCCATGAAGATGAATCGAAGATCATTATATGAGAAATGTTATATTCCGGTTTTTCAAATGATTTCAAAATAACGATAGGTGGGCAACATTCTAATATGTTTGTTAAATATATGCAAATATTTGATTTTTGGAATTATTATCGTTCCAAAGCTATATAGCTATCATGACACTATTCTTATATGTATATCATTTCAATCAAAAATTCAACATCAGTGAAATGTCATGAGATGGATGTCTTGCTTAAGATGCCAAAATTCGATCATGATTAAGATCATCTTCATAATTAGTAATTTTTGTATCTAGAGCGCGAAATGCTACTCTGGTGATCGAGATCTGATTTTTTTAACGAGGCGTAGCCGAGTTAAAAAAATAGTCGAGATGACCAAAGTATTTCGCGCTCGAGTTGCAAACAAAATTTTTTCTACAAACCTCTGAAAATATAGTTCTAAAGTGGAAGTATGCTTAGCTTGATATAAAAAATAGTGTTGAACTGGCTTAAAAGGTCTCCCCCTATCCTCCCTAGGAACGCACGATGGTCCACGAACATAATAGGAATTTCCTTTCGTGCGCTTCAAGAGAAAAAACAAAGTTATTGTTGAACATGCAGAAATAAATGATTTCGTAGATGTTTGTTCGATTTGAGGACCATTAAGTTGGAATAAAAATATCTCATATATTTTACATTAAAATGCGCGAAGTGAGTACTTCGCCCACTGTTTTACTTCCCGCATTGTTTTGTGCAAGGAATCATGGTAACGTAGGAAACTGAAAAAAAGTGTCACTTCGCAATTTGTTATCAATGCGCGAACCTTGTCATTTTTTGACGTTTGTAGAAAAAATATATTAAAGATCATCACATGGAAAATATAATATTTTGGTGTTTCGGATTGTATCAAAAAAATGTTGGAGGCGCGAAATTAGTAAGTTTATATATAATTTATGCATATATTCCATCTAGAGGATAATCATCGTTTCGAAGCTATATTTATGATAGAAACTTCCTTATTCATTATTTCAATAAAAAATCCAATATTAGTTAAATATCATAAGATGAATGTCTGGGTATAGATTGTCACGACTTGATCATGAAGACTATCATCTCCATGAAGATGAATCGAAGATCATTATATGAGAAATGTTATATTTCGGTTTTTCAGATGATTTCAAAATAACTTCAGGTGGGCAACATTCTAATATGTTTATTAAATATATGCAAATATCTGATCTCAGGGATTATTATCGTTCTAAAGCTATAGCTATCATGACACTATTCTAATATATCAATTCAATCAAAAATTCAACATCCAGTGAAATGTAATGAGATAGATGTCTTGCTCATGAAGACTATCATCTCCATGAAGATGAATCGAAGATCATTATATGAGAAATGTTATATTTCGGTTTTTCAGATGATTTCAAAATAACTTCAGGTGGGCAACATTCTAATATGTTTATTAAATATATGCAAATATCTGATCTCAGGGATTATTATCGTTCTAAAGCTATAGCTATCATGACACTATTCTAATATATCAATTCAATCAAAAATTCAACATCCAGTGAAATGTAATGAGATAGATGTCTTGCTCAAGATGGTCACAATACGATCATGACGTCGATCATCTTCATGAAAATGTATTGAAGATCATTACATGAGAAATATTATATTTAAGTGTTTTGAATGGTGTCAAAAGAATGTTGAAAGCACAAAATTAGTAAGTTTATGTATAATATATGCATATTTTTCATCCAAGGGATGATCATCGTTCTTCAGCTAAATCCCTGATGGAAATATCATCATTCATTATTTCGATCAGAATTTCAACATTGGTGAAATACCATGAGATGCATGTCTTGCTCAAGATGGTCATTATTTGATCATCAAATACTATCATTCTCATGAGGATTCATTGAAGATCATAATATGAAGAATGTAATATTCCGGTTTTTTGGATGATGTCAAAATAACGTGAGTTGGGCAACTTTGTTGAATATATATAGAAAATATGCAAATATTTCATCTTGATGATTATCATCGTTCTTGAGCTATAGTTATGATGGAACCACTATAATATATCATTTCAATCAAAAATTCAACATCAGTAAAATGTCAAGAGATTGATGTCCTGCTCAAGATGGTCAAGTTTTGATCATAGAGACTATCATCCCCATATGGATGTATTGAAGATCATAATATGAGAAATGTAATATCTCGGTATCTTGGATGATGTGAAAAAAACGTTAGTAGGGCAATGTTCGTGAACTTATATATGATATTCGCATATTTTTGATCTTGAGAATCATCATCATTCTGAAAATATATTTATGATTGAAATCATCTTACATATCATTTCAATCAACAATAAGATATCAATAAGTTATCATGAGACAAACGTCTTGTATAGGATGGTCACGGTTTGGTATCAATTGAGTAATACATATGACCAATTGTTGCTATACCAATTAATTGACATATTTTAACGTCATGTACGAGACGTCTGAAGAAAACCGTAATATGATTGAAATATGTAATGTTGAATGTTTACCGGGTAGGTACCTAGCTCACTCGACTGTCTTCATTTTTTGCCCATAAACTACGTACGACTGTCTTGATTTCCCACAAAGAAGAAATATGTTGGCAAGGTTTTAACTTTCTTTTGTTTTTGTTTTTTCAGTCCCTATTGGCCGTCGAGTGGGCTGGGTACGTAGTTTGTGTAGAAAAACCAAGACAGTCGAGTGGGCTAAGTACGTAGTTTGTGGGAAGAATCTCCAGTTCTCTGAACTTTCATAGCGTCGTATACACATCTTTGGTGCCCAATGATAGTTTCAATATAAAAATATGCTCATGATATGGTGCCATGGCCTCTACTTCCATCTTACATGAGCAATGATAAAATATCATCTGCTTTCATAGCATCGTATAAATTATCTGACCCCGTTTACTAATCTAATACCTAATGAAAACTACATCTATACTAATCTGAAACCTTTCAAAAACTACGTACCTCACTTGTTTAGATATCATTATTCTCATTCATAAATTGAAGATTTTTGACCGTATAACAAACAACATTTTGTGTACAAGAGTCTGAAACAATACCCCAATACACATCGCCTCAGAATTCCATCTCAGCATTTCATTATGTTTTGATTCCTCATTTCCTACTTTATGCTTGGAAAAAATCATTATTTCCTACCAACATGATGATGGAAGGAATGATTCAGATATAATTATAAAATACTGGTTGATAATTAGATATAATCTTTTCTTCACAGAAATACATCCTTTGCCTCTGGAGAATATCTGGAATGGTGAGTATTAACCTTGATTATATATATACACTCTTCACAATCGACATAACCTACTATATGCACTGAGAAAATTTTATAGGTCTTCTTCTTGTTCTTCTCCTCCTTCATGTTCTTCTCCTCCTTCATGTTCTTCTCCTTCTCCTTGTTCTTCTTCTCCTTCTTCTCCTTCTTGTACTTCTTCTCCTTCTTCTTCTTCTTTTTCTTCTTCTCGTTTTTACAACTTCGGCCTTCCGCGATAGATCTGATATAATTTAACCATGAAAAAGTATTGCTAACCGCAATATCGAGGAAAGATATAGTGGACTTTGTGAAACTGGTGATCTTCTTCTTCTTCTTCTTCTTCTCTGCACAGGTGGGCGGGTGCGTAGACCCCTGCACTCAGGCCTCTTCAGTCGGGCCCATTGTGCGCCCACTTGTCCTGTGAATCAGCTGGGCATGCCGATTTCTTTGACGAAATTCAGCAGCTTCCTCAGCTGAGTCACTTTCACATCCTTTGGGTGCAGTACAATGCTCCCAAAGGCAGCTTTTCTCTGATGCACCAGCGCGGGGCATTCAGTGAGTATTTGTGATGATGTTTCATCATCCTCCAAGCACCATCTGCAGATGGGATCATCTTTGATCCCTATGAGTTCTAGATGCCTGTTGAGGTGGTTGTGCCCAGTTAAGAGCCCAATTACCATCTTGAGATCCCTTCTATTAAGTGACAGGATCTCTCTCGTGAGCCTTTTTGAAGGTTCCTTTATATGGAGCTTTGATTGCCTCATTCCTGTTGTGTCCCACCATGTTTCAAGGAACTGCCTCTGTAGCATTTCCTTCATGAAGGACATAGCCGTACTATTGGGTATTCCCAATATCGGTTCTGGTCCAATGGGTGTCGTTCCTGAACCGATCTTGGCTAGTCTGTCTGCCTCCTCGTTCCCCGGGATACCAGAGTGTCCTGGAACCCACATGAGGCTGACTTTCCTAGTTTTTGCCATATTTTCTAAGGCACTTCTACACTCGGACACCAATTTAGTTGTGATCCTATTGGATCTCAATGCCATAATAGCAGCTTTACTGTCCGAGCATATGGTGACTGGTCCACGTCCACTTCTGCCGAAATTTTCTTGGACACACGTCAGAATTGCAAACACTTCGGCCTGGAACACTGAAGCGTAGTTGCCAAGAGGTACTGAGATTCCTTTCCCTGTTCCTCCTTCATATTATCCTGCACCAGACCCGCCACCAAACCTTGAGCCATCCGTGAACCAGGTTGATTCGTTGGCAGGAAGCAAGCCTGGTGTATTGCCAGTCCATTCCTCTCTTGTAGGAAAAATGACATGCGGAGCTTTATTGGAATTCAGAACTGGCAGAGTGCTGTCCCTTACCATCAGCAGACTAGGACAGCTCTCTTCGGCCTTGTTCCATATTAGGGAGTGTCCATAGTCTGCCTTTTCGATCCATTGGTTTGCACCTTTGAGTCTGTAGGCAGTGCGCATGGCTTCATGCTCTACAATCAGATGTAAAGGGGGCAGACCTAGTAGGACCTCAAGGGCCCTAGTAGGCGCTGTCCTCATGGCACCTGTCATTCCTAAGCAAGCCAGTCGCTGAACTCTATCCAGTTCATGTCTGGTTTTGCTCTTTTTAGTACTGGTCCACCATACGATGGACCCGTACGTTAGTGTTGGGCGAATAATTGCCGTGTATATCCAGTGAAGGGTCTTAGGTGATAGGCCCCACGTTTTCCCGAAGGCTCTTCTGCATGCCCAGTAGCAGCATATAGCCTTTTTGGTGCGATTACCTATATGCTCATTCCAGGTCAACTTGGAGTCGATTGTGACTCCAAGGTATTTGGTTGAGCCTTTGTATTGAAGACACCTTCCTGAGAGAAAAACCTCTGGAAGTGTCCCTATTTTACGTTTCTTGGTGAATAACACCAGATCCGCTTTTTCAGGATTCACTCTAAGCCCACCGGCGGAGCACCACTGTTCCACTTTCCTGAGAGCTCCCATCATGGAGTTCCCTAGGTGATTCACCGGTTGGCCTTGAACCATAATAACTAAGTCATCTGCATATGCTTGCGCATATATCCCTGACTCATTGAGTGTTGTGAGGAGCTCATTGACCACCAGGCACCATAGGAGCGGTGATAACACTCCACCTTGAAGGCACCCTCTCGCTACTCTGGCGGTCACAGAACTCCCACTTAATTCTGCTCTTACTACTCGCTGTGACAGCATGGCCCGAATCCACCTAATCAAAGTTGGGTTAGTTCCATGCCTCTCCGCAGCGGAGCAGATGGACTCAAATGACGTATTATCAAATGCCCCTTCTATGTCTAAGAAGACCCCCATGGCAGATCGTCCACAAGCTAGCACTCTCTCCACCCTTCGAATTAGATGATGGAGAGCTGCGTCTGTGGACTTTCCAGTTTGGTAGGCAAATTGCTGCTCGTGCAGTAGATTCGTTTGCAACGGCTCTTCTCTGATGTGTCGATCTATCAGCCTTTCCAACGTCTTCATGAGAAAAGACGTCAGACTGATGGGTCGATACGCTTTGGCCTGGGAATAATCTATTTTCCCTGGTTCTGGGATGAAAACGATCCTGACCGATCTCCATTCCACTGGTATGTAGCCCAGAGCCAGACAGGATCGTAGTATCTTCATAAGCAGGTGTATGATGGCATCCAGTCCTTCTTGGAGGAGGGCCGGAAATATACCATCCACACCCGGCGATTTGAATGGTGCGAAAGACTTTATGGCCCATCTTACTTTCTCATATGTAACCACCCTTGAGGCCGTTTTGTAATCCATGTGAGTTCTCCTCACTGGATTCGTCCTCATAGGTGGTTCATTGGTAAATTCTGAGTCGGGGAAGTGTGTGGATATTAGGTGTTGTAATGTCTCTTCCGCCGATGTAGTTTTACTTCCATTGGGCAAGGACATCACACCTACACCTTCCCCCCTTTCTTTCGATAAAACTTTACAAAGTCTTGCTGCTGAGGGTATTGTATTTATATCCTCGCAGTAGGCACGCCAACTGTCCCTTTGTGATTGTCTGATGACTTTCTTGTACGTTTTTTGGGCCGACTTATATTCTTCCCAATGTTCTGGTACTCCAGTACGCTTCGCCTTGTTCAGAAGCTTTCTTGTAAGCCTACGATGGTTTTCTATTTCTAAATTCCACCATGGCGTTCTCGCATTGTCCGACCTCTCTCTAAGGGGGCAGCTATTTTCATACGATGAAGTGATTGCCTCATTTAGATATGTCACTGCCATATCTATTTCGGCTTCGCTTCCGTACTTTGATAGTAGTCCCACTAGTCTTCCTTTCAGTTCCTCTCGAAAGAGGTCCCATTTGGTAGTCCGTGGGTTCCTATATTTTTTCTTTTCAGGAGGGCTTATCCCACCTAACTTGAACAGAATGTGTCGCAATAGTTATTTATTATACAAGGGAAAAAATAGTCGATTTCAGCCCCAGGTTGTGCGCGAGCTAAAATCTAATATTTTTCCCGTGTATAATACACTATTTTTTTCTGTGACAGAAGAAAGGACGAATCAATATTGAGAAGATATTACATTATTTTAAAATCTGAAAATTATCGACGTGAAATTTCAAGTTTCTAACGGTAGGGACACCTGCGTTGTAGGCATCTTTATCCATTCTTTTGAAGTAATCAAATATCGGATGTCACTTCTGGCAGTCTAATTCTATAATCTTATTTCAAAAAATTGCGAATTTAGTGGTTGTTCAGTAATATGGGTAACGCAAAGTCGAATGAAAGATAAAAGGACTTTCTCACGGGAAAAAAGTAATTTATGAAAAGTGACATTATATAACCAGCCAACAGAGATGAAATGCCAAACTTTTTTCCCGTCACAGAAAAAAGACTTAACCTGCGTATCACTGAGAAAAAAATATGGTAGTTATTACCAAACGTTTAGTAAAATAGGCGCCAGTCACAACTTTCATCAAATGATAACATGCACTACAACATTATATTATACTATACTATATCAAATATTACCACTACAAAATAGTATAATACTCATAGTTTAGTACAGTACAACATTGTAGTGGTATTATTTGATGAATGTGACTGGCGCCTATTCTACAAAACGTTTGGTATTCACTACCGACTATTTCTCTGAGTGATATTTGATGCAAAAAAGAAACAATTTTTGCACTTGTTGAGAAATAACAATTTTCCTAATGAATATTTTCCGTTTCAATTACTGAGTTAGCTCTAAACATTTTGTTTTTGTTTTTCAGATCGATCTTGATACCTTTCGTTTGAGTAAAATATTGCTCGACGTTTATTTGCCTAAAGAAGTCCATAAAGGAAATGGTCCGAATATGTATTTGGAGTGCGCGGCTAAAGGAAGAGATTTACGTGAGTATAAATTGCGTCATTTTCGAGCCACTGCCCTCGCCACTGCCACTTTCTGGTGGTGCGTTTATTTCTTGGAGAAGTGTATTTATCACCTTTGACATCGTTGGAATGTATGTTTTTGAATGCGATTTTATCTAAACTGGTCAACATTGATACCGTCGTGGTCCAAAATATAGCCTGAATTCAAAGTAGAATAATTCACGAATTTCCTAACCAATTTGAAATCGGTTTTCACCGATGACTAGCCTAATCTCTCGACAGTTTGTTGAGGCGATATGAAACTTCCGTAATTTCAGATAACATTGCTACAGGGCGATAATTGCATCGTGGTCTTCACCTTACCGTTTGAACAGATAATTTTTTTAAATTTTTTTCCTCACCGGTATCCTCTTGATTGATGCTTTCTCTCGAAACTTTTTCGGAATTTCCAAATTCAGAGCTTTGATAATGGTGTTATGAATATTCATTCAAAATGATGCATTTTTCGACGATTAATTGAATTAGCACGACGTTATCAATGTTGACCAGTTTAGATGGGTACAAGATATCGATAGATTTGAAGTATGCCCCTTGTAGAAAAAAGGATGAGGGATTAAACGGTGAAAGCAAATTGTCAAATTTGTCGCCACTGTTGAAAATGCTTTCATTAATCGAAAAAAATTCGTCCCATCCTGTATGAAGAATCCACTGGGTCACCGTTTGAGTATTGGAAGGAGCATTTGTATGGGTTTATTCACCTGTCCAAACATCATTGATACCATTACAACCGTTTGAAAGTTATACCTGAAATTCTGTTTCTTCTTCTAGTTTCAAGGTCAATAACTCCGCAACGAAGCGTGATAGACATATTCTTTATATAAAGTACTGACATCATTATTGCCCCAATCTATTAGCCCTATTATTTACATGACCTTTCTGGGTACCCTGTATAGGTTAATGATATTCAATCATAGTTGTCCATCATTATGAAAGGCTATAATGAAATAGGAAGTTTTGCATAATCCGATTGGGCGAGGAAATATTTACTGAATTCATTTATCCAAATCAGTCAATATTTCCGATATCCACACATTGTACTTATATGGTAAATGCACTGATGAGTCAATACTTCCAATTCCAACACACACTGTACATATATGGTGAATGCACTAATGGTTTCTGATATTTTCAGCCGCCGGCACTGCTTTGCAGGAGCGGACATGGGTTTTGATGAAATGCGTTCAACATGCTGATCCCGTAGTAAGTTCTCTTTTCAACAATACATTATTCTGATGTATATAGAAGTCCATACTGATATAACAATTCATTTCCAAGAAAGAAATTAAATTTCAAACCAGTCGATTCTTCACCTTAATCTTCTCACAAAGATATATGTTGAGGTGATAGAAAAAGAATTCCAGTATATACACTGACTAACATATCGTGGTAATGAAGTACCTTGAAAGAGTACCTAGCAATTTATATGAAACCATTGAAAATAAGTCCAAAAGTAAAATTTCAAATCAGTCGATTTCTCACCTTAATTTTCTAGGTGAGGGTGATAGAAATAGAATGGCCGTATACACAATACCTTTCAAATCGTAGAAGTGGAGCAACATACCTTGGAAGAGTAGCGATTTGGAGAAAACGAATAAAAAAACCTCAAAGAATAGAATTCCGCCCCAGTCAATTCTTCTTCTTGATTTTTTCACTGAGAGATAGGTTGAGGTGATGTAAAGAAAATGGTGATATACACACTGACTTACATATCGTGGTAGTGGAGCAACATACCTTGTAAAAGAGTAGCAATTTGGAAGAAACGATTGCAAAAATACCTCAACAAATCTAATTTCATACCAGTCGACTTTTCACCATGATTTTCTCACTAAGAAGTAATTCAAATTGATAAAATAAGAATGGCAATGAATACACTGACTTACATATCGTGATAGTGGAGCAACGTACATTGGAAGAATAGCAGTTTGAAATAAACGATCGAAAATACTTCAAAAAACTAGTCGATTCTTCACCTCAATTTTCTCACTGAAAAATAGGTTGGGGTGATGAAACAAAAACATTATACGCAGTGACTTACTCATCGTGGTAGTAGAGGAATAGATCTCGGAAGAGTTGCAATTTGAAAGAAACGTTTGAGAATACCTCAAAAAATAGAGTTTCTAACAAGTCGATTCTTCACCAGATGGTAATATGAACACTGACTCACATACAGAGTGGGCCTTTGAAAACGAAACAGAGGCTCTGTAGGTCGCCAAAACCGGATTATCAAAGAAAACTGAAACAGGTCAACTACATTTTCGAGAGGGACATCTTTCTAAAATATTTTCAGCCCTGCGGCGTTGCCGCTGCTAAAGAAAAGAAGCAACAACTTTGTTATTTCAAATGGAACACCTTGTATTTCATTGCATTTTTAGATTCTCCACGAAGAGCTGATTTCATCAATGCATCACACTTAGGGTCTAGCTGTAATGGTTTCAGGGATATAAAGTGTTCAAAATCGAGATTTTTCAACTATAACATTTTTTTGTGTCGAAACTATTCATTATTGGTCAAAACGGCTCTCATGTCCCGATCTCAACTTGTGATTTACTATCTACTGACATTTATTTGAAACAAATACAGGGTGGTTCAAGATTCAGAATTCTGATCACACTGTATCTGTTCCAGTTAAGTGTCAGTAGATAGTAAATCACAAGTTGAGATAGGGACATGAGAGCCGTTTCGACCAATAATGAATAGTTTCGACACAAAAAAATGTCAAAGTTGAAAAATCTCGATTTTGAACACTTCATATCCCTGAAACCATTACAGCTAGACCCCAAGTATGATGCATTGATGAAATCAGCTCTTCGGGGAGAATCTAAAAATGCAATGAAATATAAGGTGTTCCATTTGAAATAACAAAGTTGTTGCTTCATTTCGTTAGCAGCGGCAACGCCGCAGGGCTGAAAATATTGTAGGACGATGTCCCCCTCGAAAACGTAGTTGACGTGTTTCAGATTCTTTTCATAATCCGGTTTTGGCGACCTACAGAGCCTCTGTTTCGTTTTCAAAGGCCCACTCTGTATAGTGATAGTGAAGCAACATATCTTGGAAGAGTAGCAATTTGAAAGAAACCATTGAAAATACCTCAAAAAAATAAAATTTGGAATCAGTCGATTTTTCACCTCAATTTTCTCACTGAGAAATAGGTTAATGTGATGAAAGAAGAATGGCAGTATAGAAACTGACTTACATACCTTGGTAGAGTCGCAATTTGAAACGATTGGAAATGCCATTGTTGAATATGGTGAAGGTTTGTACAAGCTGCATACACTGATGTATCAAATGAAGAGAATTGTAGTTTGTATAAATGTTATCCAATTGCTGATGAGCCTTCATCACTGCTATTCTCGGTAGCTGAGGTCATCATCTGACGTTACGGTGACATGAAAACTACGAGAAATTATGTCTAACTTTCAATCTGTTTCAATCTAAGCCAGGAGCTAGAAATGTTTTCCTGTAGTTTTCATATCATCGCAACGTCAGATGATCACCTTCAAAAAATGAACAACAATGGTATATTTCGGGAGAGAAACAACTACTTTCCTGGCTGATGTCACGCAGAACATTGAATTACATCCTCCCGAAATCTATACATCGACTCATGCAAACGAAAACTGATACAAGTGATTCTTTCCTGAATGCCTATTGATTTCGATTCAGCCAGGCCACGCTGAACACCTACAGATCAGATTCGAGCTCTTTTACTCTCATCAGTGCAGGGCAGTCTCCAGCCAACAGTCCTAAGACCGCCGAATAAGCGTAGCCTAGCCAAACAAAAATCAAGTCGGCATTATATTCCATCAGAGGCGTCCTCCATAAACAATATAAAAGCAACTCCATCTGAGTAGAAAAAGAAGGAAAGAAACATGTGATTCGCCCCTGACGATAGGGGACACTAGAATAAGAATAGTGAAAGAAATCCATAAGCCGCTGTGATTTTGTCACTATGACAAAGAAAAACTTTTCCATCAGCGGAAAAACAGTACCTAACATTCGAAAGCATGGCAATCAAAACTAACGAATCTTCGATGGCGCTCATGTCAAATTTTCTCAAAATTGCGTTTTCAGAAAAGCATAATATAATCTTCTGAAATGTCTTGATTTGGAGTTCGGAGTGGAGACATTGATGAAACCATCAACAAGACATTATTATTAATTTTATCTTACCAAATTACACTCAAGCACTTTTTTTGAGTCGAAGGGTTCTTGGACATTTATGATTCAGAACTTGTTGCCTTCAGGATATTTGGATGAATAAACTGCCAGAACGTTTTTTTTTTTTCATTCAATTCTCAGGTAACAAAATTCTCATCGAAATGTCAAGTTTGCTTCGACCAAAACAAAAAGCTATCGTGCATGTGAATAATAACCGTTCATGGAATTATGCAGTGTACGTATTTTCGAAACACTCGGAATAATTATACACTTTTTTGTTTCAGAACTTCGTCATGTTTTAAGAGAATGTTAGCCAGGAGCACGGACGTATTACCTAATGAATTTATCAATGAAGATTCAGTTAAATTCCCGTACTATTATTCGAAATCTGCCAAGGAGCAAAATATAACGAAGTGTACTACGTATCATAGGATATCATCATCATCATAATCTGTTTTGTTCATTTTTGATTCCTAATATGCAATTTGTACCTTTATACTAGCCTATACTATCATAATAGGAACCTATGGGAACCTATTATATTATGTACACTAACTTGAAGTTAATATGAGATGAATAGTGAAAAAATGTGTTTTGCTTTTTTCTTGTTATTGATTCGTTTCATTTTTGATGTTGTCTGATTTCACGAATGGATGATCTTTATTGTATTGTTCGACACAGTTGACTGTGAAAGCTTGAGAACCAACAAAACATTCTAATAAATCTTATGGAAGTTGTTTTTATATTCCATATAGAAAAGAGGTGCATTGAATTGAAAAATTGAATGAAGAAATAACATGCAATAACATGCAAATAACAAAACAATATTTCTTGATTAATACCATGTTTCACATGACAAAAATATTCAAGGAGTAATTGGGTGAAGATCAAAAAATGCTGTCATATATACAGAGTGTCCCATCTGAAATAACAAAGATGCTGCCACCTTTAAGTATATGCGGCAACGCTGCATAGCTGCAAATCTTTTGAATCGTCACATCACGAACTCTCATTCAAGTAGTCTTATTCTTATAATACGTTCTATTTTCTGTTTACGCCTGAGGCATCGACCGTGATATACCCTATCTACAGGGTTTATCATTTTCATCATGTAACTCGTCCAAGAAAATTCTTCGATATTTCCATTCGAATAAAATTTTTGAAATTCCCAAATATAAACAATCGATGTGAAATATCTCCAGGGGCGGAGCACTTCCGCTAAAACGGAAGTGCATACAAACGTCCTCATTTGAAACGAAACACCCTGTATTCTATTACATGTCTGATATCCACGCATTTTTTAGGGAACAATCGTGTAATATGTCCCTATAGTAATTTTCAACCGTTTTCGAATGAGGTATCTCGATTTTTGTGGAAAATTTCGAATTTGCACCAATATTGACACGATAAAAATAGATGGATAGTCCATCCACGTCACGATAAAAGGGTTGTTTGCACGATGTCATGACATAGAGGTAGGACTTTCACAATTATGTAACATCATGGGGTTGGTATTGTATATCGATTTATAAGGGGTAATGCTTGGCTTAATGGTTTTGCGAGAGGTAATATTCGAATAGGCACTAATAGTTTGGGGGTAACTGAAAGTACAAGACTATATTCAAATATAACAATATTCATTATAAAACGAAACATTTCAGGTGGAATAATGAATATAAAAGAACTATATACAATAATAGATATAGAGACCAAATAACAACTTACATTATAATTACTATAACGACGAGTTCTTGTCAAGTCAAAAGTAGCCCCAGACCAGACTTACTTCGGAACACTCACATCCATTATTGATATACATCATTTTCTTACACTTGCACGTTTGCCATGAGAGTTCCTTGGTCAGTTTTGACAGTTCAATGTCAACGGATGATTTTTTTAGCTTCATGTTTATGAAACCCTCATGGTTCGAAATTACAAACATACTGCATGTTCCAAAAAGACCAAAAAAGATCCTACCATAATTACCACGACGATTGAAGTATGCCATGACCATCAGTCGTCATTCGCTACCCCAAGAAGCCAGCAGTTTCCTTCGTTCAGCTGCTAACTACCTCGAAACACAGTTTAGGAAATCTCAAAGCCCAAAAGATGTTATCCAAATGCCCAGGACAGGGATACCGTCGAGCCCAAGAGGATCCTGCCGGAATTCCAATGACGATTGGATGATGATAAGCCCAATCGTCATTTCCTACCCCGAAACTGCCAGAAGTCTCACCGAGAAGAGTCTGATTAAAATGGTTCAGTTGAATAGCCACTGCCGAACTAAGTAAAGGTTCAAGTGTGAATTGTCGACACTAAACTTTGAATGTTTGTGAATACAATTTTTCTGAAACTCTTTGTACATATAAATGAATATTAAATGAATCAGGTCATGTCACGAATAGAACATACGGTATATTAGTAATTTAGAACCATGAGGGATAAACATGAAGTTAATCAAATCATCTGTTGAACTATGAAAACTGACCAAGGAACTATCATGGCGAACGTGCAAGTGTAATAAAATGATGTATATAAATATTGGATGTGAGGGTTCCGAAGTTAGTCTGTTCTGGGCCTACTGTTGACTTGACAAAAACTCGTTGCAATGGTAATTATAATGTAAGTTGTTATTTGGTCTTAATATCTATTGTAATTCTTTCATATTCGTCACTTTTTCCATAATATGTTATAATGAATATTGTTATCTTTGAATATATTCCCGTACTCTCAGTTACCCCTAAACTATTAGTGCCTCTTCGAATATTACCTCTCGCAAGCCAAGCTTACACCATTCAAATCGATATGGGGGAAATACGACCCCCGTATCGTGACAAAGTGAAAGTCTTACCGCCATGTCATGACATGGTGGAAAATACCCTATTTAATCGTGACATGGATGTACTAACCATCTATTTTATCGTGAAAAAAACTGATACACAAATATCTTGTCATTTTGAGGTTTTTGAAAGCCCCGAAAGTAATTTTTTTCAATTATATACCTTCCTCTCCAAAGATTTTCGAGTTATAAGGGTTTCTTTATCAATACTTGAGTGGCATTGGTATTCCCTGTGGTCGAAAATACAAGTACCATAAAAGAATGGGGAGAACATCAAAAACTGATCAACTCATCAGAATACACCTCAGCAGAATCATCAATTAGAACCTGATATTATAATAACATTCCCGGCTGTATGATATTATTGTTACCACCCAGGGTTCTGATGTTCTGACTTGGTAGTCTGAGCTTTGTTTTTGGTGATTCAGCTTAGCAGCAAGAGGTGAACTGACTACCTCCAATCATGACTGAGTGTGAAAATAAAAAATTTCAGATGTGGAACAAAACACTTCATGAAAAAAGAAAAGAGTGTATAATAATATACCAACAGTGAACAGAGTGAATCAAAAATCAGAGTTGTTGAAACAATGTGAATTTAGAAAAAAACGAATCGTGACATTCCTGTATCATTTATAATAATAGCCAAACGACTCTGAGAACATTATGGAAATTCCCCTTCGTGCTCTCTAAGATATGAAAAAATCGATACAGATCGATATAAAGCGAGATAAATATAAAATATGAAGAAACTAGGTATTCACATTGTGGCTTGAAGGGTTACTCTAACCTAGCTTCCTTATATGTTTTTAGGGTCTTTAATGTCCCGTTAAGATTCCAGTTATTGCAATGGAACTGATCGTTTTGGTGTGGTTGATCATCTTACAAACATGGCTATGATGGCCTTTCAACGGCCCATTCATTTTATCGATGGTATCACTTTAGCAATACCAATCAGATGATCTCGACAAGCCCAGTCAGCACATCCTTTCGTCTTCAACCTCGAGATATGTCTTTACCAAAACTAATTTGTCTATAAAACAACAAAGCTTTGAAATTCCCTGCCAAAAGAAGTATTCCAAAGAACGCATTATCCCCAAAAGTTGAAAACTTGCAATAGTGTTAGCGTGGTTTGAGAGCGCTCTGTATATCAGCCGTGATACAAGTGTCTTGGAATATGAGAAACACGATAGGTGTGTTCGCATTCACAAATTAACAGTCCGAAACCATCAGAAAGAAGCATGTGCAGATACAAGGAAGTCTTCGCGTTTCCCTAGGACTGTTTCGTATTCCACAGATCCGTTACCATCACGTATTTTCGTATTATACGAACTAGTTTGGGATAGTTTTGAATCGGTCCATGACTGTCGTGGATAATTTTGTATGCGTATCCGTTTCATCGATTATGCAACAGATTTGTAAGCTCTGAGTTTCCCAATGTTGAGTGATACACTTTTGAACGAGATGAAGAATGGACAATGGGCATATGAGCTTCAATCGTCAATCGTCAATCTTCAAGTTCAGATGATAACAAACGTTTTTGAACCGGTTATTTACTGGAACTCCTCAGGACCAATCTGGTGGTTTTAAATGAATTAGTAGTTCAGTAATCATTTTTGGTATATGTACAGCCGCATTAAAAAAAAAGCCGCATTAAAAAAAAAGCGGTACAACCAGTTCCTAAAAAAGGCAAAGAGACCCTACCTAGCAACTACAGACCGATCGAACTGCTATCTATTATTTCAAAGATCATGGAGACAGCTGTCAACATCGAGCTCATGAAATACCTGGAATATGCAGGTATCATCACCGATAGGCAATATGGCTGCCGTCATCAGGGATCAACTGGTGACCTGCTCGCTTACGTCTCACATATATGGCAGCAATCTATTGAAAAATATGGTGCAACCTTAGCCGTGGCACTTGATATCTCCAAAGCATTCAATCGAGTCTGGCACCACGGACTCCTTGCCAAGCTTCCATCTAATGGCTTGCCTCCCCAGCTATGTTCTCTGCTAGCTAGTTTTCTCTCAAACAGGTCTCTTCATGTAGTGGTCGACGGAGTTTCATCTGACTCTCTCACTATAAATGCTGGTGTTCCGCAAGGATGAATTCTAGCTCCAACACTATTTCTACTCCATATCAACGATTTGTTGCAAGCAACTTCATGTCCAGTACCCTCCATACCGCTTTCTCTTCATGGGCTCCAATACCAGCCAGGCAAATCAGAAACGAACGAGAGAGAAATGTTGACAACATTAATATGGACTTGGCAACAATTCCCGAATGGGGATCCAATAACATGATAGATTTCAATGCAAACAAAACGCAAGCATGCCTTATCTCTAGAAAAGCCGATCTCACTGTGCCAAACATAAGCAGGAGTAACCATACCTTTCAAGACATCCATTTCGATGCTTGGTATTACTATCAGCGATAACCTTCCTTGGGAAAATCACGTGAGATCAATTGCTAAAAGTGCATCCCAAAAACTTGGTTTTCTGTTTCGGGCCAGGAGCTATTTCACTTTCCATGAAAAAGTTGGTGATCTGGCCCTATTTTATAGATATTTTTATGGACGATGCTCTTCTGAATCATCAACAATTGTACCTTCCTTGGCAGTCCCCGCGAGATTAACCCGTCGAGTTGCGGCTTCGCACCCCTTCGTGGTCACTTTGGAGACCTGCAGAACATCCCTTTTCAAAGAATTCTTCATCCAACGAACAGCGAGGCTCTGGAAAACATTGCCAAGGGAGGTGTTCCCTGCGGCATATAAGCTCCAAAAATTTAAGAAGAACACCAATTCCTTCCTTATTCCCCTTGGTTCTCACGATGTTCTCTAAACATTACAGAATAACCCGTTTCGTGGGAACCAGAGCATAAAAAAACGTTAGCTACCACTGTAACCACAAAACAGCCACTGGGCTTTGTGGTTTTTCAGTTTATTTGCAGAAAGCAGAATAATTGCATCTGTAGTACTATTGTAAATTTGTGTATTTTATACATTTCTGTAGTTTTAGTGAATAAACATTATCATCAAATTATAGCTTTGAAAACGCTGAATCACTGGCATATCGGTTCAGAATAATTAGTGCGAGGCCCAGAGATTCCGAGGCTGCAACCGAGGGGTATAAGGTCCCATGATATTGTTTTCAATGAAGGTGTATATTGATATTTTTCACCACTAGCAATATATTTCAATTATAATAATCCTGTTAAACTGAAATATGGATCTATTGCCACCTCTTGTCAGTTCTGATCGAAATCTTGTAGCCATCACAAGCCCTTTTTGATAAATGCGTTGGTTTGAGTGCCATTCCTACGAATTTCGCATCAGAACAGTGAATCCAGGTTAATTTCAACAGAGGTGGCTGTAGCTCTATGAACAAGTTTGACGAAAATGACCTTGATAGAGAAAACACACTTCAGGCTTCGAGGAGTGAATAATGGTAGGCTCTATACCTAGTGGTGGAAAAACCATATTTTGACGCTAATTGGATGAATGCTGTACCCTCTCGGAACTGAGTTCCGTTGTGAATTTTTCCAAAACTGAACTTTCGGATAATTTTCGTCAGTTGGGAGATCGCCGAGGTAGGTATATGGACTTTCAGTGGGAAAATGGAATTATTGATTTTGGATTTTTTTCTTGACTTCCGTGAATTTGGAATGAATAGCCTCCATTGTCTCAGTTTCATTTACTGTGTGATTCGAAATAGATCTATACTTTGATTTGGATTTCTGTGATGGACTAATCTGGTCATTTTCAGAAAACATTTGATTGCTTGGATATAACGTATGAAATGAACATGAAATGAATTGAGCTTTGAGAAGCAGATTTACACAATTTGATATTCCGATTACGCTAAGCAATATGTCCCAATGAATCAACTTGCCGTATATCTACAATTGCGTACTATAGCTTATTTTTCAGAAAGAAGCACTTCAATTTGATTGCTCTCCATTTTCAAATTATCTGAATATTTCCACATAAATAATGGACGGTCTTGCGTTTGACATTTTAATGGTTCATTATTTCTAGAACATTGCTCTTTGTCTCATTGACGTTTTCTTCAACGATAACGATAGATATATAAAATACATCGATATAATATACAATAACATTCAATTCTTCATGACAAAATTGAAGGTATGTCAGAACAGCTCAATTATTCGTTTATACGTATATCTGAAATATTAAACCTATATAAGCAGGATGTTCCGTTATCATGAATCGATGTTTTCGAAATTCTTGTTAAAATTCATATAAGCACCCTCTGTTTGAAAACTTCCAATAACTCACTCTCTGAACATTCTTCGTTGTACGTCTATTTTTTTTTCTGCACATATTCATGAAACCGCTCAATAGTAATGTTATGAACGATCGGTCGTGAAGTTGAATTTTATCGCCCCACTACGCGTACATAAATTAGCACTCTAGCGCCTACTATGTTTAACCTATCCTTACCGTGAATCTTCATAATATTGCATTACAAAAACCATCAATTGCATATTTCAACATTTTTTGAAATCAAGGTTGCTTTTGTTTCATTTGCTTGATTTCCTAAAGGGTGGCTTCGGATTCACATGATGATGATGCAATCATCATGCCCTTCCAAGAAAAAAATTATATGCAAGAAATGCACAGTGCACGTTTGATATGGAAATGGTGCACTTCTAATAAGAGAAACACGGTTTACTTCTGACGAATGACATTTCATTAATCAGTACATGCATCAAGTACATTGCTCGATAATTAGTATCAAACTGTTTCATTAAAGCTAGTGAACGTACAGTGCATACAATTTTGGTTGACTCTGGTCTCTCAGTTGTTCTCAAAGATAGAACCTTTCACGTTCTTGTCGTACTCTTTTGTGAATCTCAAGATGAGCTAATAAGATTCAGCATATAACTGTTTTCGTTTATGATATTATGCAGGGCTATTTGGAGCATTTAAACATTTTGGGCTCCTTCTTCACGTATCTTGGAAACTATTGGAAATGATGTTGTTCTGAGAACAGTCTAACAGACAATTTTTCGCAACATTCAATGTCGTACTCAAACAACACTTTGTTTTTCTTCAACTACATACCCAAAAGAAATCTCATTCTCATTTTATCATTAAGTCAGACAGTCGTCTAATCCTATATATATATATAACTATTTTCTTTTTTCAGGAATCAATAGTTCTCAAGATGCAAAACTTGTTTTGTCTATCTTTCTTTCTTGGCATCACTTCAATATTCGCACAATTGGATGGATCTGTGAGTATCAATATAGTGTGTAAGATTCTAAAAAATCTAAACTGAAATGATTCAAAGGGAAATGAATCTAAACTGCTCAAAACATGAAACGTAAAATCGCATTTTTTCGACCAAATTTGAATCATCATAACTCTCGATTTCCCCGACTGATTTTCAATAATTCCTCAGTTTCTGAAAGCTCCTTTCATTGACGATCGAACCTATGTATATGACTTCTTCATCTTATGCGGATGAGATTCTACAGAATGATAATCAAAACTGTGCATTTTTCCAAAACTTTCAAACGCCTCCCGTTTGGAAGAAAAATGTTTCTGCTTTCTTCTTGGATCAAAAACATATTGCTTCATAATATGTTTTCTCGATACTGTGGAAATATTTTTGGAATTGTCCCACGCGTTACAGAAATATGAATGTTTTATTAAGATAATGCATTGTTTGGTGCTCTAATTTCTATTGGCTTTGTGTTCCTGTCAATCAAATTCGCAGGGTGGTCAAAAATCTTGAAATCATGCATCATCAACCCATTCTTATAAACAGGGTGGTCCTCAAATAACAGTTATGACATCAAGTATTAAAAAAAATCTTGTTTTAAAGAACGAGTAAATTTCAAAGCAGGAAACCGATTGAGAAGTTTTCTGGCGATCAAAGCGTGTAGGAGAGGTTGTCATCACCATATCATGTTGCTACATAATCAATTGCAAGATCAAACCACTGGAATTGTTAGAAAAACCGGATTTTAAGAGAGTCGTTCTCACTTTGTGATAGATTTTTAGAAGATAATTTCAAGGCAAATGAGATAGACTGAAGAAATATACAGGATGTCTAAATAGAAAAAGTTGCTGCCGAGACATACCATGCAACTGACATAATTAATCACGATTGCAGTAGATTAACGAGTAACAGGATGTGATTTCATTTGCGATAAACGTCTTCACGAAGAACTTAAATTGAATATTTTTCAAAATTCAAAAGATTGGCATACGCCGTGAGTCACATGGATATGTAATGTCCTGACTCAGAAACAACATCAATTTTTCACATTGAATTCCATCACAGTCACAATGTTTCAGATTCATAACTTTACATCAATAACACCAGTTCAAATCACATCGCTCTCACCTTTAATTGAATTTTACATTGAAGTGAACATGAAAAGTATGAAAATTCACGAGATTGCAAGATCAGCAATAGATTCTGTAGCAACTTGACATAGTGATGATAACCTCACCTACACGCTTTGATCGCCAGAAAACTTCTCGATCGGTTTCCTGCTTCGAAAATTTCCTGCTCGTCAAAACAAGATTTTTCTTTATTACTTGATGTCATAAATGTTGTTTGAGGACCACCCTGTATATAGGAATAGGTTGATCATACATTATTTCAAGAATTTTGACCACCGTTCGAACCAGATTGACAGGAACACAAAGCCAATAGAAATTAAAGCATCAAATCATACCAAACGAGTAGATAGTATTCGATATCGGAATATTTAAAATATCTCCAACAGGATGTTGCGAAGATTTTCGGTCAAAATTCGCCAACAGCCCTCCTCAGATAAGGTCTTCAAGCATACAGGGTGTAGAAGTTGAGGAATTGAAAAATCGTTTCATCGTAATCGCTCAAGATCGGTCAGGGCAGGATTCTAAGGATCAATCGCCGAGAGTTGCGGAAATATCCGATATCATCACGCTAGGAATGGACACATACATACCTCGAATTCTTCGAGAATATCATCACCTATACGGAACCTTGGCCCGACACGAACTGCCTTGAAACACACATTAGCCTATTGAAAAATATGGTGAAACCTCAGCCGTAGCACTTGATATCTCCAAGGCATTCAATCGAGTCTGGCACCACGGACTCTTCGCCAAGCTTTCATCTTATGGCTTGCCTCCCCAGCTATGTTCTCTGCTAGCTAGTTTTCTCTCAAAGAGGTTCCTCCATGTATTGGTCGACAGAGTTTCATCTGACTATCTTATCATAATTGCTGGTGTTCCGCAAGGATAAATTCTAGCATGCACCAACACTATTTCTACTCTATATCAACGATTTGTTGGAAGCAACTTCATGTCCAGTACACAGCTTCGTGAATGATAGTAACCTCCATACCGCCTTCTCTTGCAGTCCTCCAATACCAGCCAGGCAAATTCGAAACGAACGAGAGAGAAATGTAGACAACATAAATATGGACTTGGCAGAAATTCTCGAATGGGGATCAAATAACTTGGTAGAATTCCATGCAAACAAAACACAAGCATGCCTTTTCTCTAGAAGAGCCGATCTCACTGTGCCCAACATAAGCTTGTCAGGAGTAACCATACCTTTGAAGACATCTTTTTCGATGCTTACTATCAGCAATAACCTTTCTTGGGAAAATCACGTGAGATCATTTGACAAAAGTGCATCCCAAAAACTTGGTTTTCTGTTTCGGGCCAGGACCTATTTCACTTCCAAGCAGCTATTTATGATCTATAAGGCACAGATCTGACTTATCCTGGAATACTGCTCACATATTTGAAGTACCTACAGCACCCAAACATACCCTGAAACTGTTGGATTCTGTCCAACAAAGGGCAATTCGTCTCCTGGGTGATGCCTCGCTCACAATCTCACTCTCTGGAACACCGTAGAAAAGTTGGCGATCTGTCTCTATTTTATAGATATTTTCATGGATGATGCTCTTCTGCAATAATAACAATTGTTCTTCCCCGCGAGATTAACCCATCAAGTTGAGGCTTCGCACCCCTTCTTGGTCACTTTGGAGACCTGCAGAACATCTCTTTCCAAAGACATCCAACGAACAGCGAGTCTCTGGAACATATTGCCAAGAGAGGTGTTTCCCGAGGCATATTACCTCCAGAAATTTAAGAACAACACCAATTCCTACCTTATTTTCCTTGGTTCTCACGATGTTCTCTGTCCATTAGGGGATATATTCCTCTTCGTGAAAACCAGAACATAAGAAAAAAAGCTATACCATCGCTGGCGCAAAAACTCCAACCCCACAGAAGCATACAGTGGCAAAATCAGATCGGAACTCACATATTCAAATTGTCCCAATAGCTCCCACTCGTCAATGGTTTTGGTCTCTTGCTGAAGCAGCTGAAAAAAAAAATGTCTCTAAATTGGTTCATTTCCAGAATTCTCCAAAGTTGGAGGCTCATTACGCAGATAAAAAGAATTTCTTGATTCAAGGCGGAACATCATTGATTCAACCATATGGCGCTCTTGAATAGGTCCAACTAAATATTTGTTTGATTGTTCTACAGAACATTCTTGACTCATACATAGAATAAATTCTTGATTCGAATGAACATTTCTCAATTATCGCAGTACGTATCGGTCGAAGAAAGAACTATTTAGTTTGAAACCGGAAAATTCTTCTATTGTCAATCTCTATATATGAACAATTTCGTACTTGAATCAAGAGATTTCAAGCATTGTTACAAATAGAATCATATAATAGAATTATAATGAGTGGATATTTTTCCAGAGGATCCTCATTTTCTTGTGCCAAGAGATTATCATTTTGAAGGAAATCAAAATAAAGCTAAGTATTAGAGTATTGAGAATTGAATAAAATTGATCCTCACAGTTAGTAAACAGAAGGCTTCATTACCAAATCTTGATCATCCTATTAAAACATAACAAGAATGAGAACATGTATAATAAAAATTGAAACATATACCTATAGTAAAATCATGAATCAGTCTGTGCTGCTCTGTGTGTGATCACACTCACTTATGAACACTTGTTCCATCAGAATTCTTTAGTTGTCTACGGATACCTGATATGTAAGGACATATTAGCTCGCAGCAGCTCGTGAACCCTTCTTACAGGGTGATGAAGTGGTTGAAAGTTCTTCTAGAAATTTTAGGGACATATTTGATCATATCCCTAGCAACACGGGATCTTGCTGGTGCATCCCGCTAAGGTCCTACAAATGTCCCAATGTTTCAGACTTAGGTACGATGTCCCAAGAGAAAGAGATGTTTTCATTGGATGTTCCAGAAACACCCATGCACAGCGCCAACAAATATGAGCCTCAAATAACTGTTATCATCTTCCATTAGTTATTGGACTGCACCGACCTTATATTTTCGGATTCGGATTGTTACTTGATTTTTGGAAATAGGTCGGCCATTTTCAGAATTTCAAATTGAAAATTAATCATACCGTGTCATCCATTACTGTCATCAAACAAAAAACATCCTATATAAAAGTTTCTTTAAGATGTTCCATATCAAGTACCCTGAATGTCTCTGGTACATCCCGTATCATCCCACAAACATGGGATGTTTATAAGACATCGCAAATGCTGACACAGGTGTTGCGAGCAACATCCCAAGAATGTCCCAAGGAAAATAGGGATTTTCCAGAGATGTTCCTATCATCCCATATGGATGTTTCTACGACGTCTTACAGATGTTATTGTGTTATTAGGGATACTTCTCAAGTATATTAGGAACTACAGGAAGTTGAACTGCATCAGGACGTTATAGTGTTCTCACGATGAATCGGTAATGCATATCGGAAATTCTTTTAATTTGGACAAAATTTTGTATTTCTTAACTAAGTCACTATTCACTATAGTGGCAAAGCTTGGATTTACACGCAGTTATATCGGTGATAGATTGTATTGCGTATATACAGTATGTCCAAGATGAGGATGTCTTCGTATCCCCATCTTGGACTGCTGCTTCAAAATTCACAATAATTCTATCCAGAAATTCACCAGACGAATTTAAGGGTTTTATTTTTCGTTTCATGTTTCGTTAACCTTATTTACCGACGCCACAGTGTAAATTTTTGGCAACCATGTAAACTAATAATCCACGGTAGTGACAAGAAGAACAGATACTCCAAATTGGAAGCATTTTTATCATAAGCAAATTGAGATATTGTGTACCGAGTATCTCGCCCTGTAGTTTCAATGAAAAACTCTACTTAGGGGTGGGTATATCAACTAAGTAGATATGGTGAAGTGGTGTAGTTCATGAATGAATTACTTATAGTCCTCACATGAATATGGAAAAAGTAGAAACGAAATAGTATAGTTAATAACAGGGCAAACACGAAAATATGCTCCATGATCTGGAAAACAATGGGACAAAGTGAAAAAACATAAAAAAATTATTCTCTCTGTCAAATGATATAATGTTTGCCCTGTTATTAGCTACACTAATTATATGTCTTCTTTTTCCATTTCATGAAAAGTAAGTAATTCTCACATCTATATCCTAAGTCAATACCATTTTTCCAGGACAATGATACTTTCTTTTGGCTGATGATGGGCTTACATGGGCCCGAAACATGTTTCCTGACGATTGATCTTTGATCATCCTAATAAATGTTGTGATGAATAAGTAGATATGTCTTCTATATTTCTCGGCGATCTTCAACTCACTTAATTTTTCTGAAAAAAACAATTAATCACCCTCATACTGAAATGCCAAGCATTCGAATATTGAATTGAAAGCAAATTACATTGTAATGAGTATTATTTCATTTTTATAATGTCACTATTTAATATTGAAATGCTAATCATTTGACTCCTATATGAGCGTCATTTCATTCTCATATAAGTGTTGTTTCACATCAGTTTTATGAGTTTTTTGAAACGATGGACTTGATTACAGTGAGAATGGAACTATGCTGGCGCCTATGCGATTGATATACATGGTGCGACATATCTCAAGTGCTCTTGAATAGAATCGGTCGAACTTTGTTCGGTACGCCACCGACTACATTTCAATACATTCAATGCCTGAATTTTCATCCATCTTATTATTGTTGATAATTCGTTCGGTTCTGAATTCCATGATAAGTTCGAATGTTGCCTGAAAAGTGTTACTTCTCAACTCCACCCTGTATCTCAAGAGCCAAAGTTCCTATGAACATTCTGTTAGCCCTATTTTTGGTTTCGTTTCATAAAAAAGTTGGGAAAAACAGCAATTCTGTATCCATAAAAATTAGGGAGATACCCCGCAAAATGTCACAAACATCCTGTTCCTCATAATGATCGAAATGTTTTTCTATTCCCTTCAGAAATACAACGTTGCTATGAAGGAATACAGTAAAGCGCTGCATGATGAATGTGTCAAGCAACATAAAGTGACTGATGATGATATCTGGAAAGTGAGAACTGGGATTTTTGATGATAACAACCATGAAATGAAGGTGAGTTGCACATGAAGATCTCTTGATGCTCTCATGACAAAATAAAAAATTCTAAATAGTATTTGAAAATATCAGTAGACCATCAATATGAGTATAGATACGCATGCAACAAGAAAACATCGAAAACTTCTCATTCTCAGAATTCATTTACAAAATCTGCAGGAAAAGTTCTATTTTATCTTCAATCTGGTTGAAACATGAGTATTTTTTCCATTGCGACTATGTTGAAGAATAGTTATTGATATACCACCACTAGCAATATAATTCAACCACATTAGTTCTATGAAATCGAAATATGAACATATGAAAGTAGTTCTTTCCAATTCTAATTGATGAAATCTAGTAGCCACCGTCACAGCATATGCCTAATCGTTCGTCAGCATAATGCAGAACTATCTTAACTCCGAAATTGACGTTTCTACGATAATTATCCCATCACACATACTATAAGATACTTTGGATTGACTGCAGAGGTATCCTAACACATATAACAGGATGTCCAATGAACATCCAATGGACCTTCATCTGGACACCATGAACGTCCATTGGCTGTAGAATGGATTGTGCAATGTCCAAAGGACATGAATTGGAACATTCAATCCATCCATTGGACGTCCAATATATTATTATGTTCCCTATTCATCCATTGTATTTAGAATTAAGGTCCAATGATTATTACCCAGAAGCAATCCATTGAATATGTGGAAATTTGTATCAGGGAGGAAGGATCACCAAATAATATATACAGTATGATGCAAATGTATGGAATAAATACATTATTTCAGAAATGGGCGACATTTGAAAAAATTCCAAAAACACGTGAGTTTTAATTTGTGAAGCCTCATCTCATGATATTCATCTGAGAGATGTTACGTCACCGGTGTTGAAGTAAAGACGTAATGGACGATTTTTTCAAATACAAATAGGGGTCATGTGACACCTTGATTTAAAGGTCTACCGATCGTCTATTCAACAGTCAAAATGTTGCATAAAAAGATTGAAATTAAAATGGATAATCATGTGATTAATTGAATCTTGCAGAGGTCTGCTACTGAGAATTGAACATCGAAAATACGTCGAAAAAAAAGTTCTGAACTCTAGTTTTTTTTTTTCGAAAGTTGTCTTGTTTTGAAATGAATTTATTCCATACATTTGCATCATACTGTATGAGTGCATCAGTTGAATCCAAGATAAGTTTGTGAATAGCATAGGGAATTCGGAATCGGTATAATGGATACGAATTCGGTTCCGAGATTCTGTTCAACCTTATCTTGTTATTCTTGGTCCCCCTGTAGAATGTGTAAATTCAGAAAATCTATGATGAATACACATAATGAAGAGAACGTTGTAATATATGATAGTTCAATAAAAGTGTAGGAACAAAAATGTTTTCACTAATTCTCACATTTTTCCGAACATTGACAACAGACATTGCTATTCTTGATGTTGAAAAGAAATGAAACTCATCTTTTTACATACACTTAATGAGAACCATATTTTAGTTCAATCTGAGTGTAGGAACATGAATGTTTTGATCACTATCACTATTTCTTTTACAATAATATGCACACAATGATCATAAATACAACATTAGGTGGTAGATGGTTTCATCGCCCGTTGAAATACCATATCGACTTTGTGAGCTGTGAAATGGATAACTCCATATTTCAGTGTTTGGTAGATACTTTCCGTTCTTCTCCACCCTTTTTCCCACACTTTTCCCCAATTTCTCCTCTCTATGAATGGAGATGATGAAGTTTCCTAGAGTAAAGAACTCCGGAAGTAAATTACCTCTCCATTCGGATTTCTGGGCGAGAGGTACTGAAGGAGATTCATCTCTGAATATTAATTTTTGCAACAAAAAAATCAATGACGTCCACCATCATCTACAAACGGAAAAACCAGATATTTTGGCTCCAACAAAAACTCAAGTGAACTCATCGACCAACAAGGTCCACATGCTCTGTCCTGTTTACGGACTCCATTCTCGATTCAGGTTCAAAGGTGGAGTCTGCCTCTACGCTAAGGCTAACCTTGCATACCATCGTGTAGAGAGTTCGGAATCAGAAGACATTGATGTGATGTGGTTCAAGCTAGTCGATACCAAACTGACCAAATTCATCTGCTACCTTTACCTATCGCCTAATGATAATGAATACAACAACTTCTTCGAGTTTTTATCACTCAAACTGGACTTCATTCAGGAGAACCATCCAACGGCTGAAATCATAATCATGGGATACTCCAATTTACACAACGCAGCCTGGCTCTAATTCTCTAACAAAACAGATGATGCATCAGGTCGTCAAACTGCAGCCTTCGCCATCACTCATAGTCTAGAACAACTAATCGAACTATCAACCCGCAAGATCTTTTTCTTACCAGCAATCCTGATCCATATAGAATAGAAGTTTGTGCCCCCCTTGGAATCTCTGACCACACCCTCATCTCTTCCTTGTACCATACAGCACCACAATTCCTACCTACGTCTCATGTGGCATTACAATTCAGCTGACTGAGAAGGTCTTCGTATGTTTTTTTCAGCATTTCCATGGAAGATAGTTTGTTTCTCCTCAGCAGATCCGACACGATGTACTGAGACAATTTCTAAAATCATGTTGGGGGTGCAAACCTACATATCGAACACTGCAAGGAGAACATCTTCCGATAAGGCCTGGTTCAGTAGAAACAGTTCTAGAGCTGTCGCTTCCAAACAGGCAGCATTCCATCTATGGCAGAAAAATCCAGGCCCAGAGACTAGAGAAGAATATGTCGAGGCTAGAGGCATGTGCAATGAGACAATTCGAAAGCTTGTTGAATGTCCTAACGGATCCTGTTTATTTTGGCCCTTTGCCGAAGCTGTAGGAAGAAACTTCACTTCCTGCTCGTTTCCTCCCCTAACCAAGGAAGATGGAACACTAGCTACAACTGCCCAGAAAAAAGCCAATATTTTTGCGCATTTATTTGCTGGAAATTTCACTCTGGATTCAAAACAACCTCCAAACATACCGCCAATTGACAGTGATATGCCCGAGCCCGAGATCACCTACCGCCAACGTACTATAAGGAATATTTTATTGGGTCTCAACACCAACAAAGCTTGTGGCTCCGACGGAATCCCACCGATTGTTCTCAACAAATGTGCTCCGGAGAACTAACACCTGTTCTATGCAAGTTGTTCAACTACTATTACAAATTGAAGATATTCCCGTCCAACTGGAAAATTGCGAGAGTACAACCAGTTTCTAAAACAGGCAAAATGACCCTACCTAGCACTGCTATCTATTATTCCAAAGATCATGGAGAAACCTATCAAGCTCGAGTTCATGAAATACCTGGAACATTCAGGTATCATCAACGATAGGCAATATGGCTTCCGTCATCAGAGATCAACTGGTGACCTGCTCGCTCACGTCCTCAGCCGTGGCACTTGATATCTCCAAGGCATTCGATCGAGTCTGGCACCACGGACTCCTCGCCAAGCTTCCATCTTACGGCTTGTCTGCCAAGCTATGTTCTTTGCTACCTAGTTCTCTCTCAAACAGGTCCCTCCATTCAGTGGTCGATGGAGTTTCATCTGACTCTCTCATCATAAATGCTGGTGTTCCACAAGGATCAATTCTAGCACCAACACTATTTCTTCCTCATATCAACGATTTGTTGAAAGCAACTTCATGTCCAATACACAGCTCCGCGGATGATAGTACTTTCCATACCGCCTTCTCTTCCAGGGCTCCAATACCAGCCAGGCAAATCAGAAAGGAACGAGGGACAAATGTTGACAGCATAAATATAGACTTGGCAACAATTCTTGAATGGAAATCTGATAACTTGATATGCAAACAAAACACAAGCATGCCTTTTCTTTAAGAAAGCCGATCTCACTGTGCCCAACATAAGCTTGTCAGGAGTAACCATACCTTTGAGGACATCCATTTCGATGCTTGGTATTACTATCAGCAATAAACTTTCTTGAGAAAATCACGTGAGATCAATTGCTAAACGTGCATCTCAAAAACTTCCAGTCAGCTGCTTATGATCTATAATATACTATATATAATACTGTTCCCATATTTGGAGTGCAGCACCCAAACATACCCTGAAACTGTTGGATTCTGTCCAAAAACGCTTCACTGCTGACAGCTGAGGTTTTTGACGTTGGCTGTCGGTTGTGGTTTTGCACTTGACATATTTGAGATATGAGATCTTGTTCGTTTGTATTGCTGAACTTGCTGAGGTTGATATTTTTTTCATGGTTGTCTCTGTTCACAGCATAATGTGAACAGAGAGGGTTATGGGGGGAAATCGAGTTCGGCAGGTGTAGCAAGCACTGGTGAACTGGCATCATATGAGAAATCGATTGATTTCTTTCAATGTTTTTCATTCAATATCATCAGCATGTTTCTGTCGGATTTTTCCAATGATTCTGTGATTGCTTGCTGCTACCGAATGTACGGGGTCGTTGAGCAAATATCTGGGGTACAGGGCCCCAATTTAAAAAATGATACCTGTTACTCCATTTCAAATTACTCGTGAACTCTGAACATGTTTTATCAACCGTTTTACCATGGTCATTATAACCATATGTTTTTGCCTCTTTCTTCTCCACGTGAGTACCAATTTGTTTAACTTGATATACCGATATATACTTATTGTTTCGTTGTTTTTTGTAGAATAATTTCTTTCTGGCTGATGATGGATACCGTTTGGGTCTAAAACATGTCCCCTCTTTCTTGAATTTGAAATTTAACGTTGTGGAGACGGCTTGGAGTTTTTATTATATTTTAACTACTTCACTCCACTTTGAAATAATCATGGACTTTTACAGTAGATATACTAATGTCATTAAAATATCACTTTTCATTAAGGCCAATAACATGGCTTTGAGATTCTCGATATACTTACACTGAAAAAAACATTGAGTAAAATTTCCCTCAAGGTCCAGGAAATAAGGGTCAACTTCTGCCCACACCCGATTGCGTTGAAACTCCACCCTACTTGACTGTGTAAAATGGTAATTCATGAGCCGATTCAATTAAATTTGTTATAAACATCCTCATTGATAGGAAAACTCATTGATGAAATATCTAATTCGAGTTGAGAGTTCACTAAAATATATTTCAATCAGTAAATTCACTCACAACCACATGTTATGCATTCACTCAGAGGAGTATTGTCTACAGTGTATGTGTGCTACTTACAGACAATATAAAAAATCAATATATTCTGAATATTGAACATGAATATTGCGTTCGCAATCCACAATGTATCAGAGATAAATGATACAGAAATTTCGAGAATGTGAAGAGTGAATATTGTCGCAAAAACGGAATATAATATTGATTGATTTTTTTATCGCTTGGAGCGCACGAAAGGGAATCTCTATAATGTTCAAAGAATATCGTGCGTCCCTAGGGAGGATAGAGACAGGAGGTAGGTATTGGATTTTTTTTTTGAACTTCTGGAGATTATTTGTTGTTGGAAATACTTCCTCAGGCAATGAATTCCAAGTTCGACATCTTTCCAGGTTGACAACGAAAGGATGTGCTGACGCTTGTCTAGTTCGTCTGACTGGTATTGCTAGTGAAGGGATGATAGCAGAGATTTATGAAGAACATTTCCCGTGGAAGTATCGATAGAAAAGTGAAAGGTCACCGACCTTCCTACAGTGTTCCAATGATGTCAAAGAGTGAGTGAGTGTGGCGACACCCACCAGACGAATGGCTCATCTCTGGATGGAATCTAAGAGCATCAGCGTATGTTTTGGTGCTGAACCCTATATTGGGAACAGTATTCTAGAACAGGCCGTATCTGCGCTTTGTAGATCATGAGAAGCTCTGTTGAGGTGTAAAGTAGCTTTTCGCACGGAACAAGAATCCGAGTTTTTGTGAAGCAGCTTTTGCGATGGATCTGACATGACTATCCCATGAAAGAGTGTTGCTGATGGAAATACTGAGCATAGAAATGGTGGACTTGGTGGGGATGGTGGTGCCAGACATTACAATATCGCGCGAGCATATTGAGTTCCGCCTTTCTAGAGAAAATACAGGCTTGAGTTTTGGTGGCGTTGAATTCAACTAGGTTGTTGGTTCCTCAGGTTGTGATTTCAGCAAAGTCTTCAATGACAACATTGACCTGCCTGCGCCGTGAGTTCTTAGTTTCCTGGGAAGAAATGAGAATTCAGGAAGAGAACGCAGTATGGAGGGTACTATCATCTGCAAAGCTGTGGATGGGGCAAGTTGTTACTCCCAACAGATCATTGATATGAAGAAGGAATAATGTTGGTGCCAAAATTGATCCTTGTGAAACGCCGGAATTGATGCCAATGGTATCAGACGATACACCGTCCACCACCACGTGAAGCGATCTGCCTGAAAGAAAACTCGATAAGAGATGGCATAGCTGAGGTGGGAAGCCGTATGTTGGTAGTTTCTGGAGGAGTCCTTTCGTGCCAAACACGGTCGAATGCTTTCGATATGTCCAACGCGACAGCTAGAGATTTCCCGTGTATTTCTAATGAAGCTTGCCATAAATGAATGATGTATGCAAGTAGATCTCCAGTGGATCTTCGGTGGCGAAAGCCGTATTGTCTATCATTGATGATTCCTGAGCTCTCCAGATATTTGATAAGCTCAATATTGATGCAATGGGACTGTAGTTGTTGGGCAGGTTCTCGTTCCCTTTTTTGGGGATTGGTTGGACTCTAGCTGTCTTCCAGCGTGATGGAAAAATACCCGACATGTACGAGACGGTAAACTACCTACTTGCAGAGAATCGGTGTTGATTCTGGTGCACATTTTTTGAGGATTATGGGTGGAATTCCATCGGGACCATTAGCGTTATTCGTTTTGAGACCAAGCAAAATTCTTCTGATAGTGCGTTGACGGAAGACGATTTCGGGCATTCGACTCTCAACGGGTGGAATGTCTGGCGGCCCTTTTCCTTGGGAATCTGAAGTAGAGTTTGCTGCGAACATCTCTGCAAAAATATTTGCTTTCTCCTGCAATGTTGTTGCTAATGTGCCGTCGGATTTGGACAGTGGTGGAAATGAACTATTAGTGAAATTTTTTCCGACCGCTTAAGCAAGGGACCAAAACGAACAGGAGCCATTGGGACAATCTATGAGTTTCGATTTTATCTTGGCATTGAATTTTTCTTTCGAAGCATCAATTGTTTGGCTGCAGTTATTCCTGGCATCAACGTATTCTGCTCTAGTTGCGAGGTTAGGGTTTTTGCGCCAGCGATGGTAGGCTGTTTGTTTCAAGGCAACAGTTCTAGAACAGTTTTTGTTGAACCAGGGTTTCGATGGTGATGATCTTTTCGAAGAATGAGATATATATGTGTCCATTCCGAGCATGATGATCTTGGATATTTCCGCAGCACACTGTGAAGGGTCCTCAGAGTCAAAGCATTCTGTATGCCAAGGAAACTCGGAGGAAAACATGCGGAATATGATAATTCAACATAAAAATTTTGAGAAATGTTCACATCCTTATATCGGTCCAATATATAGAAAACAAATAGTATAATTTCTTTCTCGAATTTACATATGGAGACTATGAGAAACTGGTTTCTAGAAAATGACATCATATCTGAGCCAAATCTTGAATACAAGATCATATCACAATAATATTGGAATCCAACATAGCATCAAGTTCGCAAAGTGATTCAATATTCACCAATATCCTTAGTGTTCTACCTATGAAACTTTCTGATTCCTACTCTCCATACGAATATGTGTGGAAAGAATCTCATTTTGATATAATTAAATTTTGACTGCGTATTTTGTTATTTTGCAGAACTATATACTTTGCCTCTGGAGAGAATCAGGATCAGTAAGTACCAAATCAACACCTTACTCTTTGAAATCGAATTCACTGGTATGAAGTGTGGGTAGACGGTATTGGGGAACAAACTAAATGAGAGTTCACGAACAGAAAGAAGAATATTAATTGTGGCATATAAAAACATCAGCAAGCCCAAATGGGAAAAGCTTCACAGAGTATTTTTTAAATATATGATGAATTGACATTCATCATACAGGACGTGGGATGAAATTTGATTTGAGAGATGATGTTGATTCTCGATTTCAGAGGATTTTGATCTTTCATGCTCTCTTTTTGGATATTCAACAGATATAATTCAATGTTCGACGTGGCAAATAGCCAGGAAAGTAGTTGTTTCCTGTTGAATATTCAGAATAATTATATTATATGCATATCTTCATATGAGGGAGAAGGCAAATTCTCTACTTCAGGAGATTTTGTTTTCAAATTCTCATCGTGTGTGTTCAATAGATGTAATTCAATATTCGTCGTGGCATATAGTCAGGGCAGTAGTTGTTTTCTGTTGAATAAACCGTGGAAGAATTGATATTTTCATGCGAGACTGACTGAGCCAGTCTCTCTTGCCAGAGGTTATTAAGGCTCTATAATTCCCGTGGTACATAGATAATTTTATTTCTGACCGATTTTCATAACAATATGTCCATATTTAGAACGCAATAAATGTTTAAATTCTGGTATATTTGAATTAGGTAGCGTTGATTGTAGCATTGTTGGTTGTTGCTAGGTTGTCGCTATGTTACATTTTTATTTTTTTTTAAGCGGCGGAAGTAATTTTCAGGGAACATTTGAAAATAGTACATTCATTATTTGTAATGACGTGAATAAGGAAAATATGTCTAAGTTTTCATCACATATAAACGTTTATAAGCATTTCTTGTATGATTTCCACCTATAAAAGGTAAGAGGGAGTTTTTGAACCTCAATATCCCAAGGGAGTTATGACCCTCATTATAGATATCGTAACTATGACGATATACGCTTATAATGTCACTGTCAGAAATGAAAATCTATTTAGCACTTTTCATTCTAGGAGTCAGTGAGAATCACATCCACATAAAAATCTTTCGAAATACTCTTGGAAACGAAGTAGAGAAAATAATATGTTGAGAATACACTATTTTTCACCCATTAAAGAACTTTCAATGTTTGAAAAATTTCACTTTTTCAATATATTCATTTCCGATCATTTTTTTCTTCCTGATGAACTTTCCACTGAATATAACCTTCGGAAATTGAATGTGCCAAATAGATTTTTTCTATTCTGAACAATGATTTGGTAAAAAAATATTCGATCATCAACTCGAATCAACTAGAGTAATTAATCATTCCAATACAGAGGTTTTATGCCAAAAGATCTTTTTTCTATTTATTTTATGATATCATCTGATGAAGGATTATTTGATTATCGATTTCACCTATACCTAGCGTATAGGCAAAGATAAATTGGTGCAACAAAATTATAAATGCTGTCATGAAGTTGGAGAAGAACTACCCTGAACTAAACTCTGTAGATGGTAGGAAATGAGAAAATTGAACTTTAGCAAAAACAAGTTTAATAATGAACAAAAAAAATTAAATATGCCTTACGTTAAAATAAGTGGTTGAAAATTAAATAACTCCAACATTTCGAATCAAAATATCACTCCTAAATGTCTCGGTCAATCCCAGTTTTTGCACACTTCTAACCATCAGTTTTTCAAAACCTCACTCGATCACAACCCAGAATCATAACTATCAACCGTATTCAACAAAGGAAATGCACAAAGCACGAGTTTACCGACCGACTAGGCCGACCTAAGTCTGATAACTGACGAGGGGGTGTGTCAATGTGTCGGAAAAATTCTTGTTCGTATCTACTCGAGGACATTCGTCAACGATCGTAATTAAATTTCCCTATGATGGTAATTCGATAACAAGTAATAGTAATATGATCAAAATTCACTCGTCTGCGTTAATTATCATAGGTTTAGACATTAATTGTCATTACAAGAAGTCCAATGAAGTTAATTGAAGTACTCCCAATAAAACGTCTCTAGTTATAGTGATTAGTCCTTGGTGCTATTTTTATACGTATCATGAGTGAGTTTGATTAGAAATTGAATCACAGACATAACAAGAAAATTCAATGAGTTCTTTTTCCTCAGTGCTCATCAAGAAATTACGTAGTTCACTTCATACATTTGGTTTCTTTTTCAGATGGACCTCTCTACCTTTCGTTTGAGTAAAATATTGCTTGACGTTTATATGCCTGAAGAAGTCCATAAAGGAGATGGTACGAATATGTATTTGGAGTGCGCGGGTAAAGGAAGAGAGTTACGTGAGTATAAACAGGTGTCTATTCAGATGTGAGGAATTCAAAAACGATGAGATTTCCACAAAATTCTTGATCACACGCCATGTTTTGTTAACACAGTAGCTTCATCAGGTGAAATACTGGTAATGGAATAAAACTGAAGGAGTAGGCAGATTGAGACCTTAGAGAGATCCAGTCACGAGTTCTGGGGAGTAGGCAAATTGAGACCCCGGCATCTAGTCACGTACCTTCCGTGATATTAACTGAGGAGTAGGCAGATTGAGACCTGATTGGAAAATCACTTCCTTTATTTTCCCATCATCATTTTATTTTTATTTTTCAGTTCTAGAAAATGGCTCCAAAATCGGTGCCGAAACGTCAAACATCTACAGCTTTTAGACGCCGTTCAACCCGAACTTCTACACAGAGAAAAACATTCGTTTGAAACTACGAAATTTTTGTAAATTCAACAAAATCTGAGTGTCATATATCCACGACAAAGTATTTTGTCACCGAAACAAATGTTTTTTATCAGTTCTCAATTCAAAATTCATTTGATGTAACTCATTAATGATTCAAATTAACAGCAGGAACTGGTTGAATAAACGAAGACTATTTTGTTCCTTCAATGCAATATCATTTTTTATGAACGATTCTGTTGATTGAAATGATTATATCATTTCATTCGAGTGACAAAATTTCCAATTTTTCATAGAGTAAATATGTTGAAATAAAAATATACATTCTTCGATCAACCAATTTGTATTTAGAATTGACAAAATATTTTGTTGAATAATATTGAAAAAAATCCAATAACTGAATATCAAAACTAAGAGAAATTAGAGATCAATTTCCCCAGTTGATCCAAGACTATTTGCGTCATAAGAAATTGAACATTATAGGGATTCCCTTTCGTGCGCTCAAAGCGATAAAAAAATTAATATATAAACAGATGTTTTAGGTAGGTATATGTACACCCCAATCGAGGCGAGCGTAGGAAGGTTAGAAGAAACGCCACCCCAATCGAGGCGAGCGTAGGAAGGTTAGAAGAAACGCCATCTGGTTGCAAAAATGCAACTAGATAATCATTCAACAAAATATTTGTTTGATATAATGTATTCGTGGGTTGTGTTCAACAAAGTAATTTGTTTGAAATAACAACAAATTTCTTGATAGTGATGTGTTGAATCAACAAAATATAATTTTGTCATAATCAATTCAATGGAATGATTGTCGACGTTAAATCCTTGTCAAAATCAATTTAATTCTGTCGAATAGATGGAATGCATATGATTGATTGGACAATGAGATGATAGTTGGATAAACAAAATTTGTTCTATGTTAACTATAAATGTTGTTGAATGAAATGAAACTTTTGTTCCAGTAAGCAAATATTTCAATCAAATTATTTTGTCTTTCTGAATGTTGAATGAACATATATTTTGTTGATTTCGCAAAATTGTGTTTTTTCTGTGACGGGAAAAAAGTTTGTCATTTCATCTCTGTTGGCAGGTTATAAAATGTCACTTTTCATGAATTACTTTTTTCCCGTGGGAAAAAAGTGAGTACTTTTTTCCCGGATATATATCACATATATATACTCTGTTAATGGCTTTTGTTGTGCTATAGTTCCGAAAAATGAGTCAATAATACCGTCTCCGAGAAAGAACTGCAAGTCCTTTTATCTTCCATTCGACTTTGCGGTTTCGTATATTACTAAACAACTACTGAATTCGCAATTTTTTAAAATCAAATCACAGAATTGAACTGACAGAAGTGACATCAGATATTTGATTACTTCAAAAGAATGATAAAGATGCCTACAAAACGCAGGTGTCCCTACTGTTAAAAACTTGAAATTTCATGTCGATAATTTTCAGATTTCGAAATAATGTAATATCTTCTCAATATTGATCCGTCCTTCCTTCTGTCACAGGAAAAAATAGTGTATTATACACGGGAAAAATATTAGATTTTAGCTCACGGTTTTTTGTCTCCCTCCGCTACGCGTCGGGAGACAACACAACCTGGAGCTAAAATCTACTACTTTTTTCCCTTGTATAATAAATAACTATTGATTTAACAAAATAAAAATGACCAAAATTATTTTGTTGGTGCGACAAAACTTTTTTTTCCGTGTAGATTTCAAATTTCTGACCGCACAAGCCTATCCAAACATATATATATAGATATATCCTACTCTCATTAGGTAATAATATATATATTTGCTATCAACCATTTCAAGTAAATCCGTGACACCGTATTTTAACACTGAGAAAAAAAATCAATAACCCCAAGCGAATATTTAATGATGACGAATAAAAACTTATATACTATATGGGGGGACACCTAATGTGTCAAAATATAAAGTATCGAATTCAAATCCATAGAAAAATATTTCATCGAATTGGTAAACCGTCGAAATAGTATAGAATCGACACTGTATTCTGTAGAACCGTAAAATATCAAATTGTAAAACATCGGGCCGTACTTCATCGAAATATAAAATTTCAATACGTAAATCATCAACAGTTTTATGTCGAAATGGTATTAATAAGAGTCATCATTCCATCATATCTGTATCTTATCAGAACTATATTGTATCGAGGCAGTAGTTTATCAAATCCGTATTCTGTCGCGACATCAGTCTATCGTACTAGTTCTTCATCAAATTGGTAATCTATCAGAACTGTATTCCATCAGAAACGATAATTCGTCATAACCGTATCCCATAGAAACCGTAATTCGTCAAAACCGTATTTCATCGAACCAATAAACCATCACAATCGTATTTGGTCATAACAACTTTTCATAGGAACCGTATTTTATAGAATCGGTATTTTATCAAATCAGTATTTCATAGAATCAGTAATTCATCAAACCCGTACTCCATAGAAACCGTAATTCATCATATCCGTATTTCATAGAACCTGTAATTTGTCAGACCCGTATTTCATAGAAATGATAATTTATTATATCCGTATTTTATAGAAACAGTAATGTGTCAAACCCGTATTTCATAGAAAAGGTATCTCATCGGATTCGTATTCCATAGGAATGATAATTTATCAGACCCGTATTTCATCAACGTTAATCTATCATAATGAACATCCATAGAATTGGTAATTTAGCAGCACCGTATCTCATAGAAACCGTAAATCGTCGACACCGTATTCTATCGGACGGTAAATCATCGGATTGTATCCCGTCAGAATGAGATTCAGATGATACAGAAAACTGCACTGCAGTGACACGCCATAGTTCAGGCAGAGACGCAGAGATGTCGGAGCTCGACAGTAAAGTGCAATGATTTCACAGAAACAGCAAGTTTGTCTATAAACAATCGAAACTAAAGTTGTACACGGCAACCTCAGAATGTTCGAGAATGAAATAATTGTGAAATACTGCAACATCATTTCATAATTATATTATGTACAAGCTGTCCCATTTCCGATGTCCTCACGGGATACCTCACTCATTATTCAAGATGGAGATCTGCGGTTTCTGCAATAAAATCCATATCACTTTTCATATTTACCTTGTTGCTGATACAGTGTTTCGTCACACACTATAGTTTCAATTATACCATCAGTCAACATTCACCAATATTCAGCACCATATTCAGTCACTATGAAAGCTGTGGAACCAAAAAATTAGTAGGTGGCTATGAATAATAGGCGAGTGCGTACTTTTTTATAATTCTTGTCCTCGAACTACCTCTTGAAGTTTTCAAACTTTCAATTCAATGGCGAATTATAATCCAGTATATCAAACTACCAACTTATTTCGCAACAATATCTAATTATTCGTAGTTCTGTTCTATATAGTCATCTACTAATCAGGTCCATATATAGTCAACAAATAGTGCTGAATATTAGTAAATGTTGAAGCTAATGTGTGACAAAACTAGGTAGGGCTGGAAAAAAAACGATAAATCAATGTACCGATATATCAAATAAAGATGTAATATGAAAAATATCGATAAATCGATAATCATTTATATATATATCCATTTATTAATACATATATCGATTTCACATTGACTTTGTTAGTACTATGAATGATGATGACCATTTGATAGGTCGAAACATGTCTCAATCAAGAGTGATGAAGCAGAATTGATTGCACATCTCGACTTCGAAGTTTTTTTCTCTCTGAATTCCTTATGTTATGAAACTGAGGTTAAAATCGTTGCAAAAACTTGGAAATGCTACATAACGGAAAATCCATATTTTCGACTTGAATGCAGATTTTCGTAAGTTATAGCATAAACAGTGAATGGGCCTTTCCAGTCATTTCTAAAAAAAATATATGGCTCTGAAATATTTTTCTGCGATTTCTTTCAATCAACTCATCGTATTGAAAATCTTTGGAAACGCCAAAATAAAAGAGCGAATTCAAACGATCAGACATAGCCGCGAAACGTTTGATGTCATGGTGCGAAGCAATTTGGATTGGTAACTCCCTGATTCCCTGTTGTCGGATCGGACAGAAAGATGTGGTTAGTCGAACACTATAATAGTTATTTATGAGGGCCTTAATTACCGATGGCAAACATTGCGTCCCGAGGGCCTCTGGCCCGAGGGACAGCAATTGCCAGAGGTTATTAAGGCTCTATAATTCCCGTGATACATAGATAATTTTATTTCTGACTGATTTCATTCATTAGATACCTTCCCGATTGGAAGTTAAGACATGTTTTTTCGTATGGTTTCAATGTCATCAGAACGTCAGATGATGATCTTGACTACCGCGAATAGGAGATTCCTTATTGCTACGTTATTGCGTGGTTGTTGCTATGCATTTCTTATTTAATTTTAGCTAGAGGGAATTATAGCATCTATAACATCCCAAGGGAGTTATGACCCTCATTATAGATATCGTAACTATGACGATATAAGCTTATAATGTCACTGTCAGAATTAAAAATATTTTTTCATCAGATTACATGTATTCATATGGGTAATGCATACCAATTTTGAGAATGACCTGCCTTTCCGTTCTCCAGATACTCCTAATAAGTC